GTCCTAGGACAATTTTGAAAAACTATTTTGATCCACTTCAAACAATGACTACTGTATACTGATCTATATTAGATTTGGGAATGCATAATATTATATGGGATCCCCAAACATACTATTAGAAAAGTAAACATGGACAAGAAATTTGAGCACTGACTCCCTCTTGTGGCCACTAGAAAATCATTAGTTAGTCTAAAAAGTTGCATGTTTTCTTTCCCACCGCTTCTAAACATGCTGATGTCATGATTGTGATGCGTTCACTCTAATACTGTTATGCCACATGTCTGTGTTGGATTTGGATTTTTTCCTGCCACACATATTTGCACAATACTCAAGAATCATGAGCTGTCAATCATCAGTCACATCATTTAAAACCAAAACTGAAATGTTTTCTTGATAAGTGTGTCAGAATTGTTTTGCTTTTGTTCCTTTTTCCTGTTTATTTACAGTCTGTAGTTGGCCTACAGGCGAAATTGTGAAGTGAGAAGCATTTTTGTAAGGTTTCAAGATCATTTACTATTTATAAATGTAACATTTGGAAGAGAAATCTACACAGGCTTTTTGTATGCATGCCTATTTTTTCTGAATTGCTCTTCAAGGCCATTTAAGTTGCGAAATGATCTTGGAATTAATTTAGAGCGACGTTTTATAAATGAGGCCCCTGGTAGCTTGACGCTTCTATTGTCTTATTTGTAGGTTGCTATAAATACAAATTTAATGTAAATGTATGTTCTATATAATACAAATATAACCTACTGTGTTGATGTTTGTTATTATGGTTGTCTATTGTGCTCACCTGTTCCTTGTGTGTGTTGCCTAATGTGTTTATACCATATGTAATGTAATGTAATCTAATGTGTATTTATAAACCGCATTTATTGTGTATGATCATGCACCCAAAGCGCTTCACAATCACGAGGGAGGGTCTCTCCATTCCACCACCAGTGTGCAGCATCCACTTAAATAATGTGACGGCAGCCACAGGACAAACGGCGTCAGCACGCTTACCACACACCAGCTATAGGTGGAGTGGGATACAGTAATAGAGCCAATTTTGCAACCCGGGCTCATTGTGGAAACGTAGCCCCGCGGACGTTTCTGCGGACCGCGATTTACGTCCCGGGAGGTACGTATTCGAGCGTTTTTTTGTTTTCGCGGATCCGCGAGAGGCCGCTGGGCGCGGGCAAAAAGCGCAAAAAGCCGCCGGATCGGAAAAAAATAAAAGAAAAAAAGTAAAAGCCCTCGTCTTCGATTTCAACCGCGTTTTCGGATCCTGCCGCATTCTTGGCCTTATTTTTCGGATTCCATTTTTCGTCTTACCTGATTTCCGGAACCTGCTGTTCCCCGGACTCAATCCCGGTCGTCGTCCACCGTGGCTGGCTCCTCCTCCTCCTCCTCCTCGTCCGGGGCCTCCGCTCCGCCGACGCAACGCTGTGAGCTAGGCGGACAAACTGATTGCGTCGGGAATGCCCTCCACTCGGAGGCGAGCCGTCGGCCGGCGAGCGCGAAGAGGAGGGGCGGAGCGGCGCCACACCGCCCCGCAGCAATCGCTCGAAAAAAACCAAACACGGCCTTTACGTACCTCCGGCCACGTAAATCGCGGTCTCCAGAAACGTCCGCGGGGCTACGTTTCCAGAATGAGCTTGGGTTGCAATTTTGTGGATAGGATGATTGGGAGGCCATGATGGGTTAGAGCCAATGGAGGGAATTTGGCCAGTACACCAGGGATACACCCCTGCTCTTTACAAGAAGTGCCATGGTATTTTTAATGACCAATGTCAAGACGTTAGTCTAATGTGTCATCCAAAAGACAGCGCTCACTGACAGTATAGTGTCCCCTTCACTTTACTGGGACATTAATGGCCTGTTTCCACTGAGTGGTACAGTACGGTTCGGTTTGGTCGTTTCCACTGTCAAAAGCGTACCAAACCAAACCGTACCGTACCACTTTTTCGGCATCCTTTCGAAAGGGTACCAAACGGGAGAAAGGGTACCAAAAGGTGGAGCTACACGTGCAGCTGAACGCTGATTGGTTACAGAGATAAGTCACGAACTCGTGGAGCTACACAGAACGTAAACAAAGGAATCGCCATGTTTTTTTAAATACAAAGCCGAGACATTACATGGAAATACTATATGCATATAATAACCAGCCATGGATGACCCGAGCTCAAACAAACCTTGCTGTCGTCTCGGTGAACAGACACAAAGCCAAGAAGAAAAATCTGCCGTGTTCTGTTGTTGTTTTACGAGCCCTTCTAAAAGTGCGAGCGGTATTCGCTTTCTTCCGGGAGCTCACGATCGCTTCTATATTTGATATAACGAAGAGAAGCCGTCAAAACACAGGAGCAAAATTGTTTTAGCAACCTAAATCATAAAGAAACGGCCATGTTTATCTTCGTCTTTTGGACTAATTTGAACTGGGAATGACAAAATTACTCTATCAAAGCTTACATGTGCTGGTGAAGATTACAGACACAGATGAGAGGTTTGAGCTCAAGTAAGGACTAAATGTTTGCTGTGTGTAATTTTTCTGTATGTGTTCATATATGTTGCATTTATGTATTTATTTTATATAATTACAGACGTTACAGTAGCCTATTTCACACAGTCATTGATCTGCAGTTATAATCAAATCATGTTTATAGAAAAAGTTAGTAATAAACATTTATAAACAAGTATTTATGTGTATAAAGCATCCGTTTTGTGAGAAGTGCGGCTCATTAGGATATGTGAACGACCCGTACAGCTTTACTGTACACATTTATTCGAGCGAGCATGACGTCGACTTTGTCATACACCACGCCCACCAAAAGGGTACCCTTGGTGGTGGAAACGCAAGCCTGATAAAGGTGATCCGTACCGGCCCGAACCGTACCAGTCAGTGGAAACGAGGCATAAGTCACCCAGCTGGCCTCACTAACACCACTTCCAACAGCAACCTAGTTAATCAAGTGGTCATCCATCCAGCTACTTACCAGGATCAGCCCTGCTTGGGTTCAGGGTGATGTGGCCGTGGCAATACCATGTTTGGTTGAGTTGACTGTTGGTTGTTATTATTGAGTTTTGTGTCTGATCTTCTAAGATTCTCTTGTGTATTTCTCTTTTTGGACTAAAAACTATTATAAAGTGCAACATTGCCAGAGATGGGTTGCAGCTGGAAGGGCGTCTGTTGCGTAAAAACTTATGCTGGTTAAGTTAGTGGTTCATTCCGCTGTGGCGACCCCAGATTAATAAAGGGACTAAGCTGAAAAGAAATTGAATGAATTAATGAATAAAGTGCAACAGTGTGTTGCTTGTATATAATTAAATAAAAATAAATGCAATTCAGTAAATAGTACTGTACATTAGGGTTGGGCATCTAAGCTATAATGCCGATCCGATACGCATCTCGATACAAAGAATACGATCCGATATATTAGCGATACATTTGTGACATATTGCGATGCAACACGATACGATTCACACCCATATCACGATACGATGCGATATTTCAGCACTAACTAATTAGATCAAGTTTATGAGATGATGTGAAAGAGGATGCTGTGCCATTGAATGAGTTTGATTATTTATAAACCAAGCAAAACCAAGACTTTTTTTACAAACTGGCTCTTCTCTCAGAGCCAGAGTGTCAGTTTACAGTAGAGGGCCATTTTAGAACATATAGCACATATTATTTAAGTATTTTCAAGATAAACAGAATGTATAAGTGCAATATATATTAAAAATATATATATATTTGCACTCTTTCAACATAAAGGTTGAGCATTGCACAACAAGAATTGGGATTTAACTTTTCAACTATGAAAACAAGTTTTACAAAGATATTTTGCCACTGATTATTCAAAACTTAAGGTCGTGAACTAGCAGTGTTATGCTGCTTTGAAACATCACTGTCACTGTAAACAACAGGCTAATAAAAATATAACAAACCAGCAATCTTCTTGCTGTGAGGTGGTCAAACTACCCACTGTGCCACCGTGACACCCATTATATTTATCATTATTATTATTAATATTATTATTATTATAATTAAATAAAAATTAACAGGAGGAGGTGTTTAAAACCTTCGTTCTCCGTGACACTAGGCTGAATATCTTTGCAGATGAACAATGCAATAGCATTCGTTATTGGCGTAGAGCGCACAAAACTGTTGCGCACGGAAAAAAAAACTTGCAATGCTTTTCTCACCACTTTTGGAGCTGGTTGAAGCAGTGCGAAAGCCGGGGATGCAGGAACACTGGAAGATGCTTTCACAACAACACCGTGGCGCCACTTCAAGTGAGATTTCAGATTAGTCGTACTGCCCGCGTATTTTAAAGATGCGCGGCACATTTTGCAAATTGCATCTGTCCTGTCATGTCGTCCATCCTTAAATCCATAATGTTGCCATACTTTAGATTTAAAACTCAGTGAGGAATAAAATGTTTGTTTTGCTTCTCACGCTTTCTGAGGGCGCTCCACTAGCTTCATCCGCACACCTGATACACTGAGTTGTAGTGTAAGTGTACACATCCGCAAATCCGTTGCTAAGGCTTACTTTATGTAGGTCGATTAAATTATGCGCCAAAAACAGGTTGACAACACTTGTTAATAAATAAAAAATACATTCTATATTAAAAATATAAGCTGTATCTCGGAAAAATCGATGCATCTCGCAAAAAACGATGCATCTCGATTTGCTTCCAAAATTTCATTCATCCTCTGCTGCTCAACCGATGCACTCGCATCGTGCACGCGCATGACCGCGAATCGATACATATCTATGAATCTTCCCATCCCTACTGTACATTTATTTACAAAATGATGTGTTTATACATGATTTTAATCTTGATAAATATTGTTAAATATTCAGCATTTCATTAACAAACAGCATATTAGTATTAACTAAACAATATTTTGACACACAGACGTTATATATATATATATATATATATATATATATATATATATATATATATATATATATATATATATATATATATATCAATTTAAATGACACATTCTTATACATAAATATTAAAGTGCATAAGGATAAAATATCACATTGAAATATATTTAAAACAGCTTATTTCTATTTGTGCATTTGGCACATTGTTGTTTACAGTGCTTAATCTGATGTTCAAGTGTTCCCTGGGATTCAAACGTAGAGTGTTGCCATCATTATCAGCCAGCTGAGCCACAGGAACCCCAGATTCGAGGACATGAAGTGACTCTCCTAACACACTTCTCATTTATGTTTCCTCTTTGGTTAAAATAAAGTAATCAGTCATAGTTGACTGTTTAACCCGAACAACATCATTCTCACATGCAGATGACAATTACTTCATTTCAAGCTGGAACAACCTAAAAAGAAAGAAAAAACAAATACGCTGTTTAAGTGTGATTTAAAAAATGTGATTTTTTTTAATAAACTATCCCATCCCTAGTTGTAAAACATCTTTGTCATGTAACTTTACCCTTTTACCACCTCTAAGAGTGCTTTCACACATAGACTTTTGTTTCGGAACCTGGCGCGTTTCCCTAGCTAGCGTGGTTCGTTTTGCAAATGTGAATCAAGCAATCGCACTTGCCTGAATGAGGTGGTCTCGGCTCGATTGAAATTAACTCTGGAGCGGGTCGATTGTAGTGAGAAAGCCAACCCAGACTCATTCTGAAAACGTAGTTCCGTTTACGTTTCTGGAGACCGCGAAATACGTGGCCGGAGGTACGTATAGCCGCATTAAATTTTTTGAAGCGTACGCTGCGGGGCGGTGTGACGCCGTTCCTTTCGGTGCTCGCCTGCCGGCCGGCCGCTCGCTCACCTTCGTGTGGAGGGCTTTCTCGCTGCAACCAGTTTGTCTGGTTTAGCTCATCGTGTCCGTCGGCAGACTGTAGGCGCAGAGAGAGAGGAGCTGAGCGGCGACGACAACCGGGCTCGAGTATGTGAATCCAGCAATCGCACTTGCCTGAATGAGGTGGTCTCAGCTCGATTGAAATGAACTCTGGAGCGGATCGATTGTAGTGAGAAAGCCCCAGGCTCTTTCTGAAAACGTAGTTCCTTCTACGTTTCTAGAGACCGCGAAATACGTGGCCGGAGGTACGTATAGCCGCATTTAATTTTTTGAAGCGTACGCTGCGGGGCGGTGTGACGCCGTTTCTTTCGGTGCTCGCCTGCCGGCCGGCCGCTCACTCACCTTCGTGTGGAGGGCTTTCTCGCTGCAACCAGTTTGTCTGGTTTAGCTCATCGTGTCCGTCGGCAGACTGTAGGCGCAGAGAGAGAGGAGCTGAGTGGTGACGACAACCGGGCTCGAGTCCGGGGAACATCAGCTCCAGAAATCAGTTAAGAAAACAAAAACAAAATCCCAAAAATAAAGCGAACGAGTTCATAACGGGATGAGAATGTGGTCAAAATCCAAAAGCGTGGTCAAAATCAGAAGAGGGCTTTTATTTTTCTGGATGGCTTTTTGTCAATCGTCGTTGGTCGGGTTCAGGGAAGGAGGAAGGTGTGTGGGTCGGCCGATTGGCCGGTCGCACGGTCAATCATTCTGTCATTCAGACAGACAGACGGGAGGTCGTTCGACAGTGGCCTCTGCTGGGTTTAGCGAACGGTGCTCAAGAGAGATGTTTGAGGCACAAAAAAGCGTGCACAGTGGCCTCTCGCAGATTCGCGAAAACAAAAACTGCATAAATACGTACCTCCCGGGACGTATTTCTCGGTCTCCAGAAACGTCCACGGGTACTATTTTTTTCAGAATGAGCCTGGGTTGGAGAAAGCAATACAATCTGAACCAGGCAATATCACAGAGTATTATCAATATGTAAATGTCATACAGTATATGGCTATATGAAGGGAGAATTATGAGTGGGGTGGGAAGTCATTCCTACCGGTAAATGTGCGTTTCATGTCAAATACGAAAGTGAAAGCATGTTAACTATTAACGAGAGCTGTTTATCCGTTAGGAAAACTGACTGAACAGCAGTCTTGGCTTATCTTTTATGTCTCTATATAATGTAGAGCCCATAATGCAACGGCTATGTATGAGGAAGTCTTAGCTCTGATTTATATATTGTGGCGATGTCTGTGGGTATCACCATTCAAAATGAAAGCACAGCTACTGCTTATATTGTCTTATTGCTCATCGTCATAAATTAAAATAAGGACGCATGAAAGCTGAGCGGGACTCTGCAAAATAACTGTGAAACTCTGATCAATGTGAGGAGAGTTTACTCGCACGTGACTTGTTTTAGCTCTTTTGGTCCATTTAGAAACTTTGCAGTGTGAAAGTGAACCGCTCCAAGAACAAAAAGCAACACAGTAACAACTTTAATCCCTCTTTCGGAACAAAATAATTGATCCTCATGTGTGAAAGCACCTTTAGTCTCCTGTTACTTTTTAATTTAATATTCAATTTTGACAATTTTGACTTGAAATGTACATTTTAATAAAGGAAAATTATTTTGAACATGTATACCTTGTTCTTGCAGAAGTGTGGTCCACACATGAACTCCAGAAAGGCGATGAAGAGATGCAGGACACAGGAGATGAGCTGAAGGCCACTGGCGACCATGAGAACAGAGAAAAGCAGCAGATTCCAGATCACGACTCCTCGTGGCTCCACACAGGCAGATGCCCATCGCTCTGGCTCATACAGATACAGCGTCTGTCTGAATTAACAGTCACAGATGAACACTTCCATCATTTACTTACACAGTATAGCCTATCATTATTTGAGTGCACAGAACAGAAAGCAAGATGTAAGTAAATTTGGTCCCTAATGCCTAATTTGCATAGATAAGAGTCTGTTTTCTTACCCAGTTTTGATTAGCTTTAATGGTCTTTCCCACTTTAGGCCTTGAGTTCCGTTATGTAAACATAAAGGTCCCAGTGCCAAACCAGTCCCGCTGACCCAAAAGCACAAGCCAGCAGCCAGAATAGCCAAACATGTGTAGCCCATTTTACGCAAAACCTGGACAGATAAGAAAAATAATAATGACGACAATAATTCACCCAAAAAAAATCTTGTTTCAAGGAAAAATCGTGATAATTATTTTTAAAAAATCGTAGTATTTGTTTAGATGTTAATGCTGATGGTTAAAAAGAAAAGCAAAATACAATCTTATTTGTATAATCTTACCTCGGCAGCAAAATAACAGCATCCTGTCTTTTCGTAGTGTGTTGTAAAACCTCGAGCAGCTACAAGCACCTAAAAATACATATAAATAAAAAATATAAATGTGTCATTCCAATTTTATTTATTTAAATTTTTTACAGTGTTATCGATTTTTAAATAGTTTTATTTTTATATTTTCTGTTTTTATTTTAAGTTTATTTTCAATAGTTTTATTTTTTTCCAGAGTTATGTTTGTCTACAAAATGTTTTTTATTATTTTATTTTATTTTAGTGTGTGTGTGTGTGTGTGTGTGTGTGTGTGTGTGTGTGTGTGTGTGTACATTAATGGTGGGCTGTTATCGACCATTATTGTCGTTATCGAATCTTATTGCGCGATAAAAAAAAAAATCGCCGTTAATCTATTATCAAAGTTGGGTCAGATTCTTGGTCTATTCTACGCAAGCTACTGTATGATGACTTTCACCTTGATATGTTAGCGCAATTGTTTACATGACCGGTGAGCCATCTGACAAAAAAGTGCCCTTCTGAATCAAATCAGCAGGATGCCCTTCTGGATCTTTCACTTACTTCGAAGAGTAGACACTGCTGACTATGTTTACATGGAGATCTGTAATCTAGTTATTTGCTTTAATAGAAAATACTATTAATAAGGTATTTACGTGAAGTGCTTTCATGTAAGAGTTTCCTGTAATTTTGGGTGACTTTAACTGCAGTTCGACAGTTTCACATTCACTCATGAACATTTCATTTATGCCCCTGTGACAAATTGGGGTATTAAATGCAAATAAGGAGTAAGAGATGATGAGAATGTTATGGGATTTAATAATGCATGCCAAACTGAAAGAAACAAATTCCCGCATTTCGCGATGTGTGTGTGTGTGTGTGTGTGCGCAGTGTTTTACTGACAGCCATGTGTGTGGATCTTGTCAGAAAATATGGCGAAAGTCCTACATGACGGTAATAGTTTGATTGCAGTGTTTACTTCAGTAATGCCACTAATATCTGCATACTTCACATCTTAATTCCATTTCTGTTTAGTTCAGTGATGACTTTAATCGGATTAAGGTGATCAAAAATCGCTGTTTGGAGCTTATGTAGGCCTACAGTTCAAAAATTCATGTTCAACTGAATAAACAGTTAGTAAACACAAGTACATCTTATTGAAAATCATTTATTTTCATCACCAATTATCACAGTAGAACAGTTTCTCAAGCAGTCTGTGATGCATTTTGGAAACAGGAGATGAGCCCCTAATCTAATGCGCCACCTGGCTTGAGAAACCCTTTCTCGAAGACTTATTTTTGTCATTACTTGGGCAGCCAACATATTCTGAATGCCTTCTGCAGAATTCAAGTGACCCATTTTAATCTAGATTAAGTCTAAGATTACAATGAGATTAATCTAGATTTTAAAATTATCTATATATATATATATACTGTACATGATCCCAAAATCAAACGTATTATGTTGCACAATAATATTTTAGCCTGTACACATGCAGCTAACTTCAAACTAAGTGGAAACTCACCAGAAATCCAGATGCCCAGATGCCAGAACACCACAAGGCCTCTGCAGTCACATGACCCTTTGCCAGATACCGATACTTCATGTCAGGAAACAACAGCAGCAAGTTTGCAAGCATGGAGATGATCGCTGTAGGGATCAGAGTCAATCCCACACACCTGGAGCTGATATACATCTCTGCGGCGCAGATCCTGCATCACATGTTACATTAAGTTTCATTGCACGTCTCATCAAAGCATCATTTATGAACAATGTGAATTTTGGCATTACATAAAATACAGTATAAAACCAAGTTGCATTGGTTGCAATTTATGCTACCCAGGTAGAAAAGAATTCTGGCCCGGATTTGGCATAAAGCTGGCCCAGCAGGCATTCATCTGCCACTGGCATATTGCATGTGGGCCACACATGGCCCAGGTTTGGCAGAGGTGGCACCGTCTTTAAGGCGGCCAGATGACATGGGCCAGATGTCAAATGTAGTATTTGGCCCAGATATAAAAAAAATGTATAAGTTTGGCCTCATAAGTTTGACCTATCTTGACTCACATTTAAAATCCTTTTAATTATTTTAAATAAGTAAGTGTAAGGAAATATATTAATACACAAAATAATGTGCATCTTCCTGTTTGCATCTTCTTTAGCCTTCATTTATATCCAGAAAACTTTCAAGATATAATTGTTTGAATTATCAATCTGTTCTAACCTGTGTTGCTAATGGAATTTGGCTTTCAGACAATGGCCCAGTTATGGGTTAATAACCTGGCTAAACTTAACCCAGACATGGTCCATGTTTGGCCCTTGCCTGGAAGCTAGACTTAGTCCAATTATGTACCGTAATTCACTGCGGCATTTTGACCATGCAAAAGCTGATTGTGTGGGCCAGAGAAATTTTGCTATGTGGGTATTAACTGCTGGTTTATTACCTGCCTGCACTGTTATAAAAACTATTCCTGTTAATCAATAGTTTCAATATTTTAGTGATTTTCATTTATTTACTGTTGTGAATTGAATTATTGGATGTTGATCTCTGCTCTGTCGACTATTGATGTTGAAAATTCAACTCTGCAGTTTAACAAAGTGATCTTTGTTGACATTTTAGTAGCTTGAAATATTGTATCGTGTAAGAAATCATAAACTGAGAAATAAGTCTGTAAAAGTATGTACTGGCAGTTTATTATAAATGTTTTGTAAGATAATATACAACGCCAACCCAGTCAATATATCACTTTAAACTAATAAAAATGCTAAGACAAGTCACTATTTCGACCTTTTCAAAGTTGTTGGAGGAAAGATCAAGGTCCCAAAAGCACAAATAAATGGAATGAAAAACAGGAATCACAAAACATGTAAAACTGGAATTTACGGATATTTTTTTACAGTGTATTATTAAAATCTTAAACACAGTAATTTTTATTTAATATTTAAAATCTTAAACAAAGTAAATCTTAAACCCAGTAATTTTTGAAGGATGTTTAGAACGGCTTTTAGGGGTTTTTGCATCTGAACTCTTCATATATATATATATATATATATATATATATATATATATATATATATATATATATATATAAAATCTTATTTTTTAGTTTTTTATTTCAGTTTTCCCTCTCTGGAGACTAATGTACATCACATTATAGCCTTAGCGTACCACACCTGAAACACAGATTGTCGAAAAATCGTCAGTGGCAGGGAATCGTTTTCTTTCGTCAACTATTGGGAAAGATACCATACCATGTAATGTAATGTTTGTGAGTGCGCAGGTGAGACATCATTTTGCGAGAGACATTCAAATACATCACGTGCGCTGCGTATACAACGTTTATGAGTAATGTAAAAATAATTGCAAACTGAAATAAATAAAATGAGTTTAATTGGTTTAGAATTTGATGTTTTATGATTTAAATTGTTTGCGATTATTTTGCGTTTAATCAAGAATTTTGTAGGATCGCAAAAAATGGCTACTTTTTGTGTTATTTTGCGTTGGATTCAGTGATCGCAGAATCACAAAAACCTAGCAGGTCTGATTTGTAGTTAATGAAGCTAGAAGTGTTAGTGGATGGTTCGTTCATACTGTGAATTGAGAACTAAAGTGTTACCTACAGTTGCATTAATGTTAGTTGATGTATTTAGTAACATGATCAAACAACGAACAATATTCATTGCCATACTTATTCATCGTGACTGAAAAAAACTTAGATTGATGTATTGCTGTTTTAGTTTCTGTCAGCTTTGCATTTAATTAAAGAATTAGTAAGCTATTACAACTCAGAACAATGTTTTGTGTCTAGTTTTTATGTTATGTAGCAAGTAGCCAAGTAATAAGTGGGATAAAGTAAATCCAGATGGTTGTTTTCAAAACATAAGAGACCAATCACATCGAATGCGTTTTTTGCGTTGAGAGTCGCCTTTTTGAATGGTTTACTAATGGCCGTGCGTGTTTTGCCCGCTGCTCATGCGCCCCTCGTGTTTTAACCGCCTGCTGCGCTGCACGCTTTTGCAGTTGCACGCATTTGAATCAACAGCAACACTCACTCACAATACACATCTGATTCAACTAAACTAAACTTCACTGTAAATTGTGAGCGATCCATTTGTTTAAAAAAAATTACAACAAACAAAAGCTTACCTTTTCAAGAAGAGTGGAAAATAGTGGATTATATGTGGTCAGAGATAGCAAGTGTTGTCTGTGATGCTCTGAAGACTCTTCAGCAGTGATTGAATATTCCAAGATGAGGAACCGTGTCTGCTTAAATACTGCTGTGTGTTTCCTCCCCACATTTATGTGACACACACAAGCAGCTGACAAGGCTAAAATCCAAAACAGTCATGGTGTACAAATAAATCTGCAGTTTGGATTTATACATTAAACTGGCCAATGGCACTCACTAATTGTGAATTTCTTGAAGAGTTCAAATAGAAAAGCCACTAAGTGCAATCAGAATTGTTCTTCTAAAATAATCATCCTTTGTTTATGTCCATTTATTTCACTTTAAAGGCAATGAAAATAACCTAATCATCATCATAAAAGTGAAAAAAACTGAACATAAATGTAACTGTAATTTTTCATATGGCATTTAGAGGATTTGCATTTGAACTCTTCATTTACTTATATAATTATGTCATATACTCAACCCAGGCTTATTCTGTAAATACATCTATATACATTTCTGGATACCACAAAATACGTCCCAGGAGGAAAGTTTTTTTTTTTGTGAATCCTTGAGGCTGCTGTGTACGAGTTTTTTTCTCGCGAGTGTCATTTGCGCCTGCTGTTCTCGCGTAAACCCAACAGAGACCGCTGTTGACTGACTGTTTGACTGACTGACTGACTGACCCACCCTCCTCCTTCCCTAAACCCAACCAATTTTACTGATTGACTGGCCCACCTACAGTACTTCCCTAAATCCAACCAACAATTTTCAAAAGCAATCCAGAAAAAGAAAAGCCCTCGTCTGATTTTTACCACATCCTCACCCTGTTTATTTACTATTTCTTTAATTTTTTGGATTGTGTTTTTATATTACCTTCTTTCTGGAACCGTTCTTCACTGAGCTCGAACCTC